AGTTCAGTGGAAAGATCTCTAAAGATGATGAACAAGCTCCAGAGTAAAGAACTGCAAATACTGTGTTATCTGGGGCCCCCAGTGAAAGAGTCCAGCTGCCCAGTTGATGACCCTCTAGACAAGCCCACCCACTGACATACAGTTTCCAACCTGCTTTCTGATGGGTGTTCTCCAACATTAACAGATCCACAGAGATTGCCAGATAGATAAGGAGAGCTTCAAACATGAAAGACAGACACTGAGACTAACCAAGAGAAAGGGAACTTTAGGGGAGACAAAGGCAGTACAGGGAGCAGAGAAAGCTTCAAAACACTCACCACTATCATTCATATCCACACAGAGAGAAGACCCACATCCATGAAACAAGAACAGGATACTATGAAACAGAAAGAAGGGAACAACAAGAAGAAGTTCTGGAAATTAATCACTCAACGAGACGTTCATCGGTACATGGGGAAGATAAAGCTGAAAAATTCTCCCCTGAAAGCAGATCAAGAAAGCAAAGAGGTTAGAAACAGAAAAGATAAAGAATACTAGAGGATCAGCCTGGGTGGGGGGGAGGCCCAACACTGGAATGACAGGCACTCCACAAAGGAAGAATGTGAAAACTTACAAGAAATTTCCATCCATGATGGCCCAACATGAGATACAACATCAAGGACACAACACCATCATGACAGCTCAGAACACTACGGACAAAGAGACTAAAAACCTTCCAACTGGTTGACATCAAGTTGATTCCGACTCATGATAACTGTCATGGGTTGAACTGTCCCCCAAATATGTGTCAAGTTGGCTGGGTCAAGAGTCTCAGTGGTTTGGCAGTTATGTAATGATGCAATCATCCCCCATGCATAGATCTGATGTGATCAGCCAACTCCATCTGTGAGAGAACAGGCTGGATGCAGCACCCTCACTCAGCTCAAAGCTCTGATCCAACATAAGGGGAGTTTCCTTAGGGTGTGACCTGTATCATCTTTTATCTTACAAGAGATAAAAAGAGAAAGAAGTGAGTAAAAGGAGGAACCTCAGTACCACCAAGAAAGAAAAGCCAAGAGTGGAGTGTGTCCTTTGGACCCAGGGACCCTGCACCAAGAACTTCCTAGACCCAGGGGAAGAATAATGCCAACACACATGGAGGTTGTTCTGATTCCCTAGTGCTGCTCTGACAGAAATATACCACAAAAGAGACGGAGTTTATTCTCTTACAGTTTGGAGGCTTTAAGTCTGAGTTCAAAGTGCCAGGCTCTAGGGGCTGGGTGAAAGCCCCTCAACCTTGGGCTTCAACTCTGCCTCCTGCTCCCGGCCCACTGGAGCTAGAGGCTTTTTTTCACTCAGACAGCAACTTGCTGCTGAGGCTGAGAAGCCCAAGGTTGACAAATAAAAAGGCATAGTCCCAATGTTACCAAATCACACAGCAGGCCATTAATTCAGGTTCATTGTAAGTCTCAAGGTTGGCAGAGCATAGCAGGCTGCTGAACAACAACACGGCTACATGCAGGGTCCAAGCGTGCCATATGCTAGCTACTATCCCCAAGGCTTCTCCTTTTATACAGGAATCAGACCACATCCCAAAGGCAGCTACTCAGCTGCTTGTGGTAGGTCTCACCATGGAGTTGATTGCCAGTTTCATCATGGGGAATAACTACCACCAGCTGCCCAACCACTCAACCAGGCCCAGCCAAGCTGACACACAGACTGAACTACCACAGATATCTTCAAGGAATGTTGGGCCCACAGATGTTGAAAGGAGACAAGGACCTACCCCCAGAAGTGGTGATCTGAATTCAGACTTGCAGCCTTCCACACTGTGAGGAAATAACTTCCTGTTGGTTAAAGCCGTCCACCTGTGGTGTTTCTGTTATGGCAACAGCAGAGTACCAAGGCAGTGACTCTATGCACGCAGAGCAGAACTGTGCTCCGCACGCTTTCCAATGGCTGAGTTTTCAAAACTAGATCACCAGGCCTTTCTTCCCAGGGGCCACTGGGTGAATTCAAACTGCCAACCCTTTGGTTAGTAGCTGAGTGCACACTGTTTGCGTCACCCGGGGAGGGCAAAGACAAAACAAACTAAAACACACAAGACACACAGAGAGCTTGGGAATCAGAAATGTCAACCACCACACTGGAAGAGTGACAACGTGGCATGTGGATTATCTTCCACCTGCGACCCTATACCTTGCGACACCTGGTAAGGACAAAGACAGGTTATACAAAATCTCAAGACATTTCCAATAGTTACTTCTCATGTCCCCTTTCTTAGGAAGTTACTAAAGAACATACCACACGAAAGCAAACAAACAAGTATCAAACCAAGGGAAAAAAAATTCGGCAAGAACAAACTTATTAGTACTCGGCTTAGGTGTCAAAAGCCCGGCCACAGTAATGTCAATGCTCAATGGAAACTTCCCAATAATGTGATCTAACTACACTGGAAAAACACGGGGAGGGGTGGTTAGAGCAAAATCTTCCTCTACCGTAACAGCAAGCCATTTGCTGTCGTGGGTAGTGGAGTTGATCCTGACTCATAGTGACCCTAAATGACAAAGTCGAATGACTCCATAGGCTGTGAGTCTTTACAGGAGCTGATTTCCAGTTTCTTTCAATCAGAGAGCCCCTGGGTGGGTGAACCACCAACACAGCAGCTGAGTGCTTAACCACTGTGCCACCAGGGCTCCTAGCAAATCACTATTTGTTTCTAAATGAATGAAAAGAAATTCAAAGTATAAAGTCACTAGATGTTTCTAAATGAACCTTAAACATTTGAAGCGTAAGAAGTTACGCAGAAACATGGAGGAAGAAAGCAGGAGCTGAAAGCCGAACGTGGCTTCTCTGGGAGAGCAAAGCTCAGTTAGGGGACAGCTGGTCTTCAGGACAGCCCTTACAGGAATTTTATCAATTATATTTAAGTTTAAGCTATGAACATGTATTACTTGGATAAAAATTAAAAAGAAAAAAAAATTGCAAGGCATTGGGTCGTTTGTCCTGCGGGCTTTTAATTTACATCACCCGTCTAGCCTCTTCCACGCAGGCCTATAGTCAAGATAATGAGGGTTCTTTTTCCCCCCTTTCCTTTAAAGCAAAATCAGTTTATTGCCAACCTGAACCAAATGACTTTTAGGCATCTTGCCAGTCGACGGTTTTAAACAATATTACAAGTCGTAATGGGTGAGAGGCACGGCCTGCAGAGAATTCTGAACAAGGCCTAGGCCCGTAAAATGAAATGATTAACGTCAGGGTCAGCTCTTCCTTGGCTCTTCAAGCATCTAATTTAGATGAGGACCGCATGGTGTTCAGGGTTATAAAACTCCACACACATAAGTTTCACTCTCTCTGCCTTTGAGCATTGGTGAATGCCAAGTTGTTCATTAATTAGCTCATTTTCCATGGGGCTCTTGGCCTTCAAGAAGGAAATTCTCCAAGCTCCCAGCAGCTCTCAGCATGGAAGACTTAGATTCTTCGGGGCGGGAGGTGGGCTATTATCGGAAAGGGTTAGAGGCCAGATTTGGGCTGTCATCGACTCAAATGTGCTATGTAAATTCTTTTGGCCACACTGGAATTCGTAAACTTAAAACCAACGGCTTGAAATAAGTTGTCCTTGGTGTGCTAAGAAGGAGCTCTGGTTTCTGGAACCAAGCTGCTATGTCAACTGACAGGCTGTTGAGCAGTCAAGGCCATCCCAGGAGGAAGGGGATGGTCTCTAGGGCAATACAGCTTCCTCTTGTGAAAACACAAGACAAAAGCAAAGGTGGTCCCTTCCACCTCCACCTCTCAGCCCAGCCCCCTTCTTTAATCTTCAGCAGGGCTTCTGACCCTACCCTGTGGAACCTTGAAGAAGGACCCAGGGGCTCTAGGAGTTGCTGAGGCAAAGTGGGAGGGGATCTGTTATGGGTTGGCCTGGGCCCCACCCCGAAATATGTGTTGGAATCCTAACCCCTACACCTGTGGCTCAGTGAATGGGAACTAACCCAGCTGGCAAGGGGGTTTCATACCTATGGAGGTAATGGTGTTGGGGAAGAGGTTTGTTCTTATGTTAATGAGGCCATTGTAGTGTATGGTGAGTCCTGAATCTAATTACCTATAAGCTATAAAAAGACCAGATAAGAAAAGTAAGTACAAAAGGGGGGAGACAGACACCAGGGGAAAACCATCAGGGGCCTGAGGAGCAGGGCCAACAAAGCTGAAGGAGACAAGGATCCCCCCCCCCAGAGAGAGAACATCTTCCCCTGGGGCTGGCACCCCTAATTTGGATTTCTAGCTCCTGAACTAGAGTCACTTCCTGTTCTTTAAAGCCACTCACTTGTGCTGTGTCAGTTACTGCATCACTAGGAGGCTAAGACAGGATCGCAGAGCCCCACTGTTTGGGTTTCGTCCCCTCTGGCCCTCCTAAAATTTCATTTCACAGGTCTACCTCAATTCCTATCAAAAGTATATTTATAAAGCTCCTCCACTTCTCCTCAAAAAAAAAAAAAAAAGAGGCGGAAAAAGTACGACTCCGGCTCCCTGCGGAGCTCCACTCCCCTCCGGGGATTCTGGCGTGTCCCCCCAGTCAGCACCTTCGTACTGCTCAGATTCCACGACAAACACAACCATTCTCCAGAAGGCAACTGTTCACCTGGTACGTTCACTCCAACACCCGTCTTGGAGCCTTCCTCCCAGTGAGGGTTTGGCCCAGGGCTTCCACCTCTTTCTTATCGTGGGGGCCCTGACCTGTGAGCTCAGTGACTCAAGTCCATCCAGGACCGTCCGAACCCACACCTGAGCTGGGCCACAAAGCAAGGGACGCAAGGACCAATGCCCACTTAGAGTGCCAGCCACATACCTGAGCTTTGGGTACCCAAAGAGAAAAGCATGCACAGGCCTTACAGAGAAAGTTCTAGAAAAAGGAAACACACACAGAAAAAGGGAGGGGTGGCCATGTCTCCTCAGAAGTCCTCAAGTGTCAGCCAAACCCAAGAAGCCAATGAAGTCCCGGCGTCTTTATTACCCAAACACACACATCAGAGCCTGTTGATGTCCAGCTGGGGGAAGAGCAGCAGGCAGTAGACCAGAAGCCAGAGGAACAGGATGAAATACATCGTGTCTGGCTGTTGGACAAGCTGTGTCAGTGAGTCGCTTGGGGGGCTGTAGCTGCCTGGCAACATGGCCTCACCCGAGTTGTTGGCCTTCCTGGAAGAGGGAAGACAGAGGGGAGCAGTTTACAAGCAGGTCCCCCGTGCAGTGGACACCACAGAGCCCCCCGTACTCCAACCTAACTGCCTGAGGTCCGAGGAGACCCCAGCACTATGTGCAGACCCCAGGCAGAGGGCTTGGGCATTCATAGATATGCTCAGCTCTTTCCCACTCAGAGGACCCCTCAGAGCGCAGTGGTTAGCCCCATTCCTCTGATGGCCATGTGGAGGCTCATGGGGGCAGAGGGACTTGGCCAAGTGGCTTGATTTACTCTGTGACAGAGCTGGGACCTGAGCCGGCTCTAGCTTTTGGTCCAGGACACCTTCTGCTGTCATAAGGCCCTTGGAGAGTTCACTAACAAAGAACTGGCTGCTGTTAGCTCTCTGCCACTCATCAGTAATGGAAGGAGCGTCACAGGTTCTCTACGTGAAGGGCAGTGCCCAAGTCACGGGAAATTCTAAAACAGCCATCAGAAACTAACAAGAAGATGTTCCACTCCCACAGTTTTGTTTTTTGGTTTTGGGATATGAACTTAAAAAGAAATTACTTAATTTCTTTTTGGCCAGATTTATCTTTTTTTTCCCTTTTATTTTACATAAAACCTACTGCCATCAAATCGATTCCAATTCATAGAGTGGAACTGCCCCACAGGGTCTCCAAGGCTGTCAATCTTCACAGAAGC